GGGTTCCCGCCTTGCTCCTCGGCAGGGGGGCTGGGAGGCTCCTCCACCGGCCCACGTGCCGGGATGCCTGTGGCTCGCTCCAGCGCTTGGGCTTCTTTCACCCGTTCTATAATCACAAAGTGCTGCCGGTGTTAGACGCCCAGACACCCAGCCCTGGGCTCTGCACCCTCTGCCCACCACCCCACTCGTGCAGGGACGAGGCCCCCGCCAGTGGGCGGCACTGGCTGCTCCAGCACGCTCCTGCCTCTGGGACTTCCATCAGCAAGGTGGGGGATGGGGAGAGAGACCCCTCCTGGGTCACACGTGGCTGCCAGCTCCCTCGGGTGCTCTGGCACTGCCAGTCCCGGTGGCTCCGGGGCACACATCTGGCGCAGCTTTCCAAGCCAAGGAAAGCCATTTTGAAATGACAGGATGGGAGGGGGGGTGTCAGGGAGGCTCTGGTCTTTGCCCTCATCCCCACACCAGAGAGGAGGGACTCGCACACAGAGCAGTTCAGAGAGCACAAGCCACTGTGCTCAGCCCCACAGCGACTGGGGGAGACGAGAGACCAGACGGCAGGGGTCGGGGGGGAGGGGGGAGAAATGGGATGAAAGGACAGTTCCAGACACTGCACTGCCTAACCCATGGCGAGAACCCCGCCCTGGCTGGGGGAGGGGGCAGATGGACCTGTAGTTGCAGGACACCATGGGGATGGGTGCCAGTACCCGCGGCTGTGTGCCCGTGGCCTGCAGCTCCACACGCCCTGCCCTGCACAGGGACCCTTTGTGTCAGTGAAAACAAAAGCGGGGCTTGTTCTGGGGAGGCCTGGAAGCCTGCGATAACAGGCGGTTTGTCTTAGGGGGAAGCAAGATCCAAGGGGTGACGGCGCTGAGCCAGACCCTGCACTGACTGCTCGCCCGGGTGCTGGGGCTGGCGCTTTCCCAAGGCAAACTTGGGGGGCAGGATGCATCAGTGCTGCCAGGAAGCCACAGCAAGAGGCGTGACTTTGCCTGTCACCACCAGCACATCTCAGAGCAGGTCAGCCCTGAGCGGGATCAAGAGGCAGGCAGGGAGCCCGCCGGGCCAGATGGATCCCCTAGGAGCCCAGGGAAAGGTGAACGGCAGCCAGGCGACGGCGCTTCCACTAGGCGACCCTAGGCGGTCGCCTAGGGCGGCAGGATTTGGGGGGCGGCATTTTGCCGTCCTCAGCCGCAATTCGGCGGCGGGGGGTTCTTCCGCTCCGGGTCTTCGGTGGAAATTCGGCGGCGGGTCCTTCACTCGCTCTGGGACCCACCGCCGAAGCGCCCCGAAGACGCAGAGCGGAAGGACTCCCGCCGCCGAATGCTCTGAGGAGGAGCGCTGCCACCTAGGGCGGCAAAAACCCTGGCGCCGCTCCTGACGGCAGCATGCTGTGGCCTGCTCTTATGAGGGGACAGGAGACACGCTGGCCATGGGCACACAGCAGAGGAGGGGCAGCATGCGCAGGGGACAGGGCCTGCATTGTGCTGGGATGCAAGGACGTGGCTGTGGAGCGGTCACTGCTTTTCACGGTGCCTTGTGATTAGGGCCAGCAGGGGGCTCGGGCCTTTGTGCGTCCTGGGGCTGGAGAGAGGGACCAGGAGGGAGTTGTTGTTTAGGGGATTTAAGGGTTTTTTCCCTGTCTGAGCTAGGTGCCCCTGGGCGCTGGATCGGAGCACCAGGGAAAGCTGGCTGGTGGGAGGGAAGGATTCTGTGTGTTTGTTAACTCCTGTTCGATTTTACTGCTGGAGAAACCCCTGGGAGAAAAGCTGTTGCTGTGAAAGATTCCCCACCGCCCCAATGGGGCCTGGGGGAGACTGACAGTTTACATCCCTGAGACCTCCAGCACAGGTGCTGGCAAACCCCAGGACCTCCAGACGTAGGTATCCTCGTGACAGCAGCGCTAGGGCTATTATCGGAGTCGGGCGCCAGCGTGCTGGGCGTTCCTGAGGTCATAGTATTGTTAACAAGCAGGACATGCCCCATGTCAGGCCTCGTCTGTGCATCACACCGTAGCAAACGGGCCCACAGGCCCACTGAGCTTGCACCATGTGACGCTGGGTTGGGGCCAGGAGCTGCAGCCATCTTTCTGGAGTGGACCCGAGACCCCAGCCCTCGCCTGAGCAGCTGTTCCACAGGTCATTCTGCTCCGGGTGCAGTGTGTTTACCGGGGTCAGGCCAGGGGAAGGAAGCACGGGACTCCGGCTGCTCAGGATGGTGCCTGGCCATGCAGGTTTCAAATGCACGCGCTGGCCTGAAGGGGAACGTGCTGGAGACAAGCGAGCCAGCAAGACTGATGCAAGGGAGCTCATCATGCACATGGGCTACACTAGAGCTACCCAGGCCTGTGCTGGGCCACGCTGAACAGACACCTACACATGCAAAGAGCTTGTGGACCCCCAGCTACACTCACTGTCACCAGACAAGGCCTGACTGCTCCCACTGCCGTGTGCGGTGGCCTGTAGCCCTCCGGATGCAGGAAGCCTGTTCTTGCCCCAGGTCTCCGGTAGCTGCCACCCTGCATGGGAGGCTGCATAGCTGCACCCGCTGAATATCTCCGAGAAGAGGCCTGCTGGTTCCTGCTGTAGGGACGGGGTCTCCCCCACCAAGGGGAAAGATCCTGGGTGTCCCCCTTAGGAAACAGCGGGCAAAGGGGGAGCCTTGAAAATCAATTCTGAACCAGCAGAGCAGGCCAGAGCGGGTCATTGGGGCCCAGGCAGGGAGCAGGCCAGTGGGAAGGCAGAGCTGGGCAGTCAGGCTCAGGGTAGGGCTGTGTCCAGTGACCCCACCTCTCCCCATGTCCACGGGAGCTCTCCTGGCTGTCAGCACTTGGACGCTGGGGGGGTGGGGGGAAGGGGTCGCACAGGACGGCGGGATGGAGCGGAGATTAGAAAGAAGGGCTTGTTGCTGCAGTTCCTGATGTCAAGGCCCCACCCCGCTGTCCATCTCCTCCCCAGCTGTCCTCACAATGGGGGTTCCTGGGCAGGGGTGTCTCCGCTCTGATCTCCAAGGGGAATATATTAGCCAGACCGATGGAGGGGAACTGAAATCTCTCCCACCCTGACTGAATCCAGTAGGGTGACCAGATGTCCTGATTTGAGAGGGGCAGCCCTGATATTTGGGGCTTTTTCACATATAGGCACCTATTACCCCCCACCCCATCCCGATTTTTCACACTTGTTAGCTGGTCACCCTAGAATGCAGGCAGGAGAGCTGGGGGGAGGGACGGTGCTTGGCCACGGGGTGAGGGGATGATTAACACTTCCCTTAGCAATGGGGATGGGGGGGGACCTTCGATTCAGCCTAATCTGGGCAAGGGCTGTAGGAGCCTGCGTGGATGGGGAGGGGCTGCTGGTGATGAAGGGGCCCCGTGCACCCGGGGGATGGCTGGCACACCTGGGCATGAGCTCCGTGCCCCAAGTCAGACCACGTGGGGCTGGGATGTGGCCCAGGAGACCTGGTGCGTGGAAGGGGATCCACGCCCCGTGGGGTGGAGTTCAGAGCCCGTTCCCCTGCTGAGGAGACAAGTGTCCTGGAGAGCTTGTGGACCCCCGGCTACATTCACTGTCACCAGACAAGGCCTGACTGATCCCACTGCCGCGTATGGGACTCCGCTGATTAGCTGTGCTGTGCTGGCTGTCAGGAGCTCCAGGTAGGTGGGGTTCTGGAGTTCAGGATACCAGTGCCTGGACGCCTCGCCTGCGGCAGCTAACGTCCCCAGGGCCTCGTTAGCATGGGTTACGCTGCGTTATAACCCTGGTACGTTCAGCCAGGAGACCGAACACACCGCACTTCGGGAGCCAGGCACCAGCATAAAGGAACCTGTTCAACTGGCTCAGCTCCAGCCATAAACCTGTCTCCCAGATCCAGTGCCCTAATTTACCGGCATAAATCCCGGCCCCGCTCGCTCATTAAATACATGCGGAGCTGCTCCGGCTTTGTTCTGTTCTCTCACGCTGCAGGCACGTGCCCCTCCCGGCAGAGAGACGACAGCCTGGCCCAGGAGACAGGTGCTGTGCAAGCCTCCGGCACACAGAGCTGACCTGGCCTGCGGCCCCCTCCCAGCCTCACCCCCTGACCCCACACCTCGGCCAATGCACCTTCGTCCGAACCTGCAGCTCCTTGTGCTGCTCCTGTCCTGCAGCCCCTGCAGCATGGTTAGGGCCCCTCAATCCCCCCCCACCCCGAAGCCCCTTCTGAGCCCAGGCTGCAGGGTTGTACTGTGGGTGAATATCAAACTGGGAACCAGGCGGAGAAAGTTTTCCCTGTGCCACAGTCAGGATTCAACCCCCGTTTCCAGAGGGGAAAGGCTGGTCCCTCTACCCAGCGGGACCCCGATACTAGCTTTAGAAATGGGTTCTGTCCTCCACCTCCTGCCATCGCTGCCCTTTCGCGGGTGCCCCGGCAGCTGCACCCTGGGGAGGGGGGAGGGGGGGGGGCTGGGATCAGTGTTACTCCAACCTGTCTCCTTTGCTGACTCATGTTAAACTGCAGCGTGCGCTGGCTCCACCAGGATGATCCAGCCAACCCCCCTGGAACCCGCCACATCTTGCCCTGTCTCCTCTAGGCCCCAGGGGAGCCCTGCTGTCCCCTACAGGCACCGCCGCTCCCCTTGGCTCAGGCCTGCCTTGACACCGACACAGGGAAAGCCTGGGACATTGTGTGGCTCTCTGGGGCCCTGAGACGTGAAGGTAAATTACACACACCCCAGGCACCAAGACACACACACACTTCGTTGTGTGCAAACCACGCACACCACGGCATACACACAGCCACGTGCCAGCCCCACAGGCATTCCACGTGCAGCCCACACCCTCCCACACTACAGGCCCCACCCCACTGCGCACACCCCCCTGCAAACCCCACCCGCCCCGGACACCCTGCATACCTGACCCCAACCACTACCCGCATCCGCCCCCAGCCCCGCCCCAGACAGCAGCACAGTCCCCCCCCCGCCCCGCCCCGCCCCGCTGAGCGCTGCCATGGGCCACTCCCACGTCTGGCTGCACTGCCTGGGCCGGGAGCTCCCGGCTGGGCCCCACGCAGCGCCGGCGAGATACCGAGCTAGCCGCGGCCTGACTCCAGCGCTAAGCCCAGGGGTACCGGCAGCTCGGCCCCACACACCCCGGCTGGGCTTTGCTCGGGAAACCCGCCGGGTAAGGCCAGTCCCCGCGGCGCTGCACGGGCTGGCTGCGGAGCCGGCACCTGCCCCGGCCGGTGACACGCCCTGGAGGGGCCGCGGGTCCTTCCCGTGCCCGGGGAGCAGAGGCGGCGGTGATGGGCGCGGGGCGAACCTGCCCGGGCGCCGGGGTCCGGGCTCGCCCAGCAGTGCGGGGAGCAGCCGCCTCCGCGCAGCCGAGCCCGACACACTCCGCGCACGGTGTCCCGGGCCTGCCGCGAGCCCCTGCGGGGGGGAGAGGCGCCGGGGACGAGACCCCCGGCCGGGAGCGGACCCGGTTCCCTGCGCCCGGACCAACTTTCTCCGGAGCGGGAGCCCCCCAGGACCCCACCCCGGGGAGGGGAGCGGAGCGGCCCCTTCCTCCAGCACGGCGCTGCCCGCCAACACCCGGGGAAGTGCCCGAAAAGCCGCCACGTACCTGGGGTCCCCGCCCCACCTGGAGCCTCCATCCGGCCGGGCTGCGTCGGACCCGCCGCCGGGGAGCTGGGGGCTGCGTCAGGCCGAGCCGCAGCCTCGGTGTCCCCGCAGCACGGCCCCCGCGCCGGCACGCATGGCCGAGCTGGGGAGCAGCGCCCGGAGCCGGCGCCGCATCGCCACTGAGCGCGGGGCGGAGCGGGGCGGGGCCCGCAGCCGGCGGGGGGCGACGCTGGCAGCAGCCGGGGACGGGGGAGCGGCGAGGACAGGTGCAGCCCGGCCCCCCGCGGCGCAGCCCGGCTAGCTGGGGGCAGAGCGGGCGCCCCCCCCGACGCTGCTCCGCGATGTTGCCCCCCCCGCGCTGAGCTGTGGGCTCTGCAGCATGTGAAATGCGGAGCGGAGCGAACCGGCGGCCGGCTCCCGGGGGGCGCTTCCCTCGGCGGGGCCGGCCCTGCGGAGGCGCTGGGGCAGAGCGACCGCGCCCGCACGTCGGCTCAGGCAAAGCTGCCGCTCAAGAAAACAGCCCGGGGTGAAGGACATACCGGTGGGCTCCATGCGGACACCCCCCACCCCCCAACTGCCCTCCTTGCTCCAACCTCCCCATGGGGAAGCCGGAAGGCGTGGAGGATGGGGCTTGCTGATAGGGCGTGAGGAGGAAAGGACACACACAACCCAGAGGAAATGAAGATGCTGTAGCCACAGACAGGCCTGGGCCAGCATCGGCACCGTGGCAGGCAGGGTGCCATGGGAGAGGCGACTAGGAGCTGGGAGGGAGGAGCGCCCGGAGGGAAATCTTAGGGGATGTCAGGCTCAGGGAGGGAGCTCGGGCTGAGCGGTGTGGTTGTTTCTGAGGCCTGGTCCACACCTCAAAATCAGATGGACCCAGCCCCTGGCTCGGGGCTGTGAACAAGTGTGTGCCCTGGGTGACGTCGTTAGGCCCACCTGACCCCACAGAGGTGCAGCTAGACCTACGGGAAGGATTCTTCTGGCGACCTGGCTGATGCCTCTCAGAGAGGTGGATTAACCACATTGACAGAAGAACCCTTCAGGCAACATACAAAGCACCCGCGCCGCAGCGGCACAACTGCCCTGGAGACATCAGCTGCGTTACCTATAAGGCCAAGCCCCAGGCCAGAAGGGCAGTAAGACCCAGGCGTCCAGGGGCTAGCACAGGAACAAAGGGAAGCGGTTTGGACCTCCCCTGCTCAGGGCTGTGGGCAGCCTTCAGAGGTCCTCAACTTGCGTCCCTGCATCAGTGGCCCCGATGAAACTTTGCTGGGGTGGAGACTCAGGCATCAGAGAGCAGGGCCACAGGCCTTCCTGGTAATGATATTGCATGAGCTGTCGGACTAGCTCTGATGAATAAATCCAAATACTTGGAAAAGGGACCTAACGGAGCAGAGCACAACGTCCCAGACAGGGCGGCCATTCATGTTCCACCGGCTAGACTCGTGTCACCTGCAGCCAAAGTGCTTACACAGTCCTACCCAGGAAGAGCAGTGGATTGGCAAATGAAAGCGAGCTGTGCTCTGGCCCCCACGCTGTCTGATGGCCCAGATCTCCTGGGTCCCTGGCCTGGGATTCCCATTAATGCATGACATTCAAAGGCATCCCACTGAGTCCCCCAATTCCCTCCCTCCCACACACACACTGCCAAGAGCAGCACCTCCTGCTGGCTGCAGAGAAGGGACAGCTCTGGAGCTGCCGACAGGAGCTGGTTGCAGTGGGGGATCAGGGCAGGTCACTGGGTGGGAGTTTAGGCCACTTTTGTCAAAACCAGGTGCCTAAGCTCAAGTTATTATTAAACTGAAATAAATTCCAGTCAGGCACCAAAGTCGGGACGGTCTGCTTCTCTGAGGGGCTCGCACTGGGGTCAGTGGCAGCTGTGGGGGCGGGGCTTGGTACCCTGCAGAACCCAGCCCCAGGATTTGAAAATTCGTGCTTTGGAGACCTTGCTGGGCAATTAGTGCAAATGACAGCCATCTATTGTGGAGGTACCAGCTGCTGTTTTTTCCTGCTCAATTCTTACGGTGCCTGACTAACAAATTGCCCTGCGTGTAGCTGCAACCTACCTAGTGACCCTCTTCAAACAAACTCTGAACGATAGTAACAAATGCCCCAGCCTGGCCAGCGTGGAGATGCTGCCTGAGAAGAACAGGGCTCCAGCCCATCTCCAGGAGCACTGAGCTCATCCCTGCAGAGGGTCAATTCACAGCAGTGGCCAGAGCTCAGAATAGCCAGCAAGGCTGGCAGTGCTGTGGGCAGTGCGGGCTGACGCGGGCTGCAGTGGGGTGGGCTGGGTCCTCTCATCTAAGCTGACAGGCAGGAAAATCCTGCACAGCTACGATAAGAACTTTTGTTCAAGTTTTCAGTGTATAATGCACCCACAGGGCATTGGCTACCAATGTGTCCCAGGAACACTGCGTCCCTGTCAGAGACACTTCCCAGTCAGCATCTCCTGGGAGAGAGCCTTGCAGAATGGTCTTGGGCCAAGTGAGTCCCAGTTCTGTCACTGCAAACACCCTTGGGATGCCAGCCTAAGGGAGGCAGACCCCCAAACACAAAGGACTTCATACAGCAGAGGCAACACCATTAATTGCATCTGGAAACTAGTTGGAAGCCCTGGTGTAGCATGCTCCCTGTGTGTAGCCCTGCTAGGCAAGAAGACAGCTGCATCCTGTATCTGCTGAAGGTTATGAGTGGCCTTTGGGTGTAGTGCAGGGGTGGGCAAACTGTGGCCCGTGGGCCAGATCTGGTCCACCACCCATTTTAAGCCGGCCCTTGAGCTCCCGCTGGGGAGTGGGGTCTGGGGCTTGCCCCGCTCCACGCGGCTCCCAGAAAGCCGCAGCATGGCCCCCCTGCGGCTCCCAGAAAGCCGCGGCATGGCTCCCCTCCAGCTCCTACATGCTCCAATGGCCCCCTCCGGCGCTCCAATGGGAGCTGCAGGGGCAGTGCCTGCGGACGGGCACATGCAGAACCGGCTGCCTGTGCCTCAGCATAGGAGCCGGAGGAGGGACATGCTGCTGCTTCCAGGAGCTGCTTGAGGTAAGCTCCACCCAGAGCCTGTACCCCTGAGCCTCTCCCTATGCCCCTAACCCAGCCCTGATCCCCCTCACGCCCTCCAAACCCCTCGGTCCCAGCCCAGAGCACCCTCCTACACCCCAAACTCCTCATCCCCAGCCCCACCCCAGAGCCCACACCCCCAGCCGGAGCCCTCACCCTCCTCCCCGCATCCCAACCCCAATTTTGTGAGCATTCATGGCTTGCCATACAATTTCTATTCCCAGATGTGGCCCTCAGATCAAAAACTTTGCCCACCCCTGGTGTAGTGCCATGCGGAGTGCATGCTGCATGCTCCCGGCACTGTCACCAGGTTTCTTTGAATCAGGTGAACGTCACATCAGAAAGGTGCCTGTGCTGTGGCATCTCAGGTTTTATTATCTGTTCTTACTATGACTTCCAGATCCACACTGCTCCCCTTTGAAGTCAGGGGGAAGTCTATTAACTGCAAACTCCCCCTGGGACCTGAAAACCCAGCTGTTCTTCCACCTCTGACCTCCTCCCCTGCCTTCCCATACTGAGGATTCTGCTTTTAGAACATTCCTGACTGACAGTGCTGCTGCACAGCGTGGGCCTGACTCCGTCTGGCTCTCCCATAGCCGTGGGGTGTCTGAGGAGATGCTCGTTAGCCTTAATGCTGCAAATCATAGAATATCAGGGTTGGAAGGGACCTCAGGAGCTCAAAGCAGGACCAATTGCCAACTAAATCATCCCAGTCAGGGCTTTGTCAAGCCGGGCCTTAAAAACCTCCAAGGAAGGAGACTCCACTACCTCCCTAGGGAACCCATTCCAGTGCTTCACCACCCTCCTAGTGAAATAGTGTTTCCTAATATCCAACCTAAACCTCCCCCACTGCAACTTGAGACCATTACTCATTGTTCTGTCATCTGCTACCACTGAGAACAGCCGAGCTCCATCCTCTTTGGAACCCCCTTTCAGGTAGTTGAAAGCAGCTATCAAATTCCCCCTCATTCTTCTCTTCTGCAGACTAAACAATCCCACTTTCCTCAGCCTCTCCTCATAAGTCATGTGCTCCAGACCCCTATCAGTTTTGTTGCCCTCCGCTGGACTCTTTCCAATTTTTCCACATCCTTCTTGTAGTGTGGGGCCCCTCATCCACAGAGCCAGTTATCTCATCATAGAAGGCAATTAGGTTAGTCAGGCACAACTTCCCCTTCGTGAATCCATGCTGACTGTTCCTGATCACTTTCCTCTCCTCTAAGTACTTCAGAATTGATTCCTTGAGGACCTGCTCCATGATTTTTCCAGGGACTGAGGTGAGGCTGACTGGCCTGTAGTTCCCCGGATCCTCCTCCTTCCCTTTTTTAAAGATGGGCACGACATTAGCCTTTTTCCAGTCACCTGGGACCTTCCCCGGTCGCCATGAGTTTTCAAAGATAATGGCCAAAGGCTCTGCAATCTCATCTGCCAACTCCTTTAACACCCTCGGATGCAGCGCATCCGTCCCCATGGACTTGTGCACGTCCAGCTTTTCTAAATAGTCCTGAACCACTTCTTTCTCCACAGAGGGCTGGTCACCTCCTCCCCATGCTGTGCTGCCCAGTGCAGTAGTCTGGGAGCTGACCTTGTTCGTGAAGAGGCAAAAAAAAGCATTGAGTACATTAGCTTTTTCCACATCCTCTGTCACTAGGTTGCCTCCCTCATTCAGTAAGGGGCCCACACTTTCCTTGACTTTCTTTTTGTTGCTAACATACCTGAAGAAACTGCAACTCCAAGTGTGATTTGGCCTTTCTGATTTCACTCCTGCATGCCTGAGCAATATTTTTATACTCCTCCCTGGTCATTTGTCCAATCTTCCACGTCTTGGGCACCCAGGGAGCAGATCTGGGAACTTGTTATAGGCATTTCCTGCTCCGAGCTATAGTGAAGCCCTAAGAGACTCAGTGAATCCCCAGTGCCTTTGGCCTGTTCCTAATCTGTCCAAAGGTGGAGAAAGTCCCCTCAGATCTCAAATATCAGCATCTGTGCGTCTCTGTCTTGCTCCGCGGGGCAGAGGTGTACAGCTGGCGAGAGCCAAGGAAGCCCTAATGCTCATAAACCGCTCGCTGGGCACAGTTAGAGTCAGTTTGGTTCCACAAAAAGAACAGGAGTCCTTGTGGCGCCTGAGAGACCAACACATTTATTTGAGCGTAAGCTTTCGTGGGCGACAGCCACTTCCTCGGCTGCATGGCGCGGAACATACATTGAGGAGATAGCTAGAGACCACGAACAGGTGGGAGTTTGGGTCCAGGAGGCAATGGCGCAGCTGAGCTCCTCCCTGCAGCGGTCACAGCGGGGGCAGCGCCTCGGGGGAACCGGGCAAGTCATCGCTGGCTCTGACTCGCCACGCGAGAGCAGGGGGACAGACGGGCTGGCACTGGGCCCCCAATGGCCGGGCGAAGGGAGGCGGTCAGGCCGCCCCCGCCCCGCGCAGTCTCGGGCAGTTCCGACGGCTCGAGAGCCGCAGACAGGGCGGGGCTTGGCTGTGCGCCACGCGGGGGGGGGGTTAGCGCCGGGGGGGGAGGGGCCCTGGGGGCAGCGGGAAGGGCCGAAATGCAGGGCCGGAGCCGCTGGCGGGGCTCCCGGCGGGGCGGGGCGGGTCTGGGGCAGGGCCCCGCCCCCCGAGCCAGGCCGGGCTCCGCAGGGAGCAGCGCCGCCGGCGGTTGCTAGGGCCATGGCGCGCGTTGCTATGGGCGGCCCGGAGTTCTCGCGAGGCTTTCCCGGCGGTTGCCGGGAGACTCGCTGACTCCGCCGAGCGCGAGCAGCAGCTGCAGGAGCCATGGTGAGGGGGGGACCCTGGGTTCGAGTGGGGCGCTGGGGGGAGCCCCTGGGATCGAGGGGTCCCCTGGGGCACTGGGGGGAGCCCCTGGGTTGGAGGGGTTCCCTGGGTTCGAGTGGGGCGCTGGGGGGAGCCCCTGGGTTGGAGGGGACCCCTGGGGGTGACGGGTGCTGGGGGGAGCCCCTGGGTTGGAGGGGACCCCTGGGGGTGACGGGTGCTGGGGGGAGCCCCTGGGATCGAGGGGTTCCCTGGATTCGAGTGGGGCGCTGGGGGGAGCCCCTGGGATCGAGGGGTCCCCTGGGGGTGACAGGTGCTGGGGGGAGCCCCTGGGTTGGAGGGAACCCCTGGGTTCGAGTGGGGGATCCCCGGGATCGAGGGGGGCGCTGGGAGGAAAACACTAGGTTCAGGGGTCTCCTGGGAGCCCCCGGTGTTCTGGGGGGCAGCAGCATTTGGGGCAGGGTTCTGGGTCAGGCAGCAGAATTGTCCCGTTCCTCTGTGCCTGGGGCACTTTGCTCGGGACTGATGGCTGCAGTGGCCTCCCTGGAGCTGCAGCTGGGCTGGTCAATGCGCTGAGCTCTGGGTCGCACAGTCCTTCCGGGTGACGGGTCATTCTGAGACCTTGGCTGCACCAGCCCGTGGCACCTGTTGCCTTCCCCTCAAGTGCATGCCCCTAGCTCATCACAGGGCACAGGCTGCTCCAAAATGCACTCCCGCTCCCTGGCTGGTTAGGACAAGTAGCACCACATGGGATCTGAGTGAGCGAGGACACACCAGACATAGCATGGGGAGTGTGCAGGGCCACCCAGGGGGGGCAAGTGGGGCAATTTGCCCCAGGCCCCACAGGGGCCCCCACGAGAATATAGTATTCTATAGTACTGCAACTTTTTTTTATGGAAGGGGCCCCCAAAATTGCTTTGCCCCAGGCCCCCTGAATCCCCTGGGCTGCTCTGGGAGTGTGAGAGGGAGCCATGCATCCCAGTCCCCAGCACCAGAAGTAGCAGTACCAGTGCAGTCTTAGTTAATTGCTTTGGTGTGGAGTTTCTTGTACCTTTACTGACCCTCCAGCCCTCTCTCTGAAAGCTGCACAACAAAGCTGCACCTGTGGCCAGTGGGGAACTGGAAGATCCCACCTTGTGTCATCTCATTGATAAGAATGACATCCACACCCAGTGGTCCCCAGCACCCAGGTCGGTGGCACCTCTGTCGGTCTGAGCTATGCACGCCTGTCATGTATATTGTTTTCTTTTCTAAGGCGCCCAAAAAGAAAGGTGGCAAAAAAGCCAAGGGAGGCAAAGCTGCAGCGGTGGTGGATGCTGTCCCCCCGGAGGACATGAGCAAGGATCAGGTGAGAGCTCACAGCTTCTCTCCTAGGGCTCTCTGCCCAAGGGCTTCGCACGGCCACCGAGCTCCTGGCGAGAGGAGGCTCCCATTTGTAAGGATTATTGGTGGCATGAAGTGCACAAGGTTTGGTTCAACCCATGAGATGGAGATGGCAGATGGTGAAGGTTAGTAGAAAAGACAGGGTGGGTTTTCACACCAACAACGGCACCATCCCTCACATGCCTGAACTATTTGCATGGGTATCACAAGAGCGGACTCGTTGTGGGCTTTGGGGTGTAGCTGGGTTCCCCAAGGGTTTAACCATCTCATCTCTCCCTCTCCAGAGCTTCCATAACTTCCCTGTGTCCCTCATCTAGCCTGCACTCTGTTGCCCGTGACCAGGATTCTGTGCCCTCCTCTGTCTAGTAGTTATAAAAGGTTTTCTGTGACACAGTCTAGCATTTCCCTGTTAGTCTGAGCGCTATGTCTTGTTCTGTCCTTATTTCCTATTGGAGAAAGCCCCCTCCACTCACTCTGATACAGGTGTATAACCCTTTTAGAACTTGAATTACTGATGAAATCAATGTCTGTTGCTAGGGCATTCATACACCCCATGCCATAAATACACTTTCCTCTTCTCTCCGGGCCCAAGCAAACCAATTCCTCAAGTGGTATTCGTTCAGATTCAGTTCTATGATTGTCCAGTCTGTGGTTTGATGATCTGCAATCATGCTAGCTGCTGCGCTCTCAGCGCATCTTGAATGAGAGACTGGACAGGTGCTGTGCGAAGGGGAGTTAGTGATTCAGGAGGTAGCTCTCTTCCCTGGTATTATTATTTAGTATGGTAATGGCCAAGGCCCTGCTTTGCTGGCTGCTTACAATCACATATGAAGACGTGATCCCTGACCCAATGTCCCTGCAGTCTGAAAGAGGAGCCTGCAATTCTGAGTCCGAATTGGTTGTCCATGAATGCAGCACTGCTCTTCCAGATGACAACTAGATCTGCGGGTCTGTTCCCTTCCGATCAATCAAGATGCCTTAGCTCCCTTTTCTAGAGGTCAGGGTGTTAGTCCCAGTATCCATATCTTAATGGCTAATTACAGTCTACCTCCCTAAACGCCCCGTGGTTTCTGTTGGATATGGCATCGTCACTTCCCGTCCTAAACTTCTGTATCCTGTTAAACAGCTGCCATGCTCCACCCAGGGGAGGCTGTAGGGATTGCTGGGGGTAGTTTGGAAAGAGCTTTGAGCCCCCAGAGGGTGACGGGTGCTAGAGAGACATAAGTCAGCAATTTTGTGGGAGGAGAACTCCCCCGCCAGTGCCTTCACCAGCTGCGCTTGTTGGCGCTGCAGCTGGAGGAGCACATTGTGCGTCTTCGGGAGGAGCTGGACCGCGAACGGGAGGAGCGCAACTACTTCCAGCTGGAGCGTGACAAGATCCACACCTTCTGGGAGATCACCCGTCGGCAGCTGGATGAGAAGAAGGCGGAGCTGCGCAACAAGGACCGTGAGATGGAGGAGGCCGAGGAGCGGCATCAAGTGGAGATTAAAGTGAGAGGCTAAGGGAAGACGGTTAGTGGACTCCAGCTTTCCTTACGGGTACCATAGATCCTTGCTTGGCTGTGCCCGTAATTAGTAGCACCCGGTGTTCTCTGTGTGGGCCCCGAGCAGCACGGGAGAAAAGGAGGGGGCAAAGGGAGTTGGGCAGGACACTAGCAAGGGGTGTCTCAGGCAGTATTTCAAGTTCAAATGTGTTCTTGCCCGTATCTGCTAATGCCCCTCTTCCCAGGCCCCTGCAGAGGGGTGGGTCCCCACTGCTGGGCTCCCCCTGCTCCCATCCCTGTCTGGGGGCTTTACACCACTGAGTTCCCTTCTTCCAGGTTTACAAGCAGAAGGTGAAGCACCTGTTGTACGAGCACCAGAACAACATCACAGAACTGAAGGCAGAGGGCACTGTGTCCATGAAGCTGGCCCAGAAGGAGCACCGCACCCAGGAGACGGAGCTGCGCAAGGATATGCGCACCTTGAAAGTGGAGCTAAAGGAGCAGGAGCTGGCCAACGAGGTGGTGGTGAAAAACCTGCGCATGGTACGTTGCTCTCAGACAGATAATCATGGGGCTGGGGACACCTTAGCTGCAGGGCTTGTCCAGCCTCCTCACCGCAGCCTGGAAGAAGAGCACAGCAGAGACGCCAGAGCAAGTCCGAGGTCTGGGTGGTCTTGGCATGTAACGGAGATGGGAGAGCCCAAGGTTAGCTTGTCAGAGAAGGAGGTGAGAGGGGGCACCTTACTGAGACATCCAGGCTCTGAAGGGCTGAATGGAGACTGATCAGTCCCTGATCCTTGCACCATCCCCATCATGTGAAACTAAGGGGTCACCTAGTGACATCTGTGGGAGATCTATTTAGAGTCACTGAAGGAAGTCTGTCCTCCTGGGGCTGGGAGTCAGTGCTGCAGGAGTCAGAATCCAACATGGGGCTGGAGAACCTGATGGCCAGTAACTGCATGGGTCACTCTGCAAACTGCAGTAGGATTGGTAGTCAAACCATGTGCTCCAGGGCAGCAGCTGATCCGATCCCCCTTTCTGTGATGGCTTTTCACTGCAGCCAGGTGCGCAGATGGCCTTGACTCTGAGCCTGTGCGTAGGGAAGGATTTCTCTCTCTATTTGGCTATCCAGGTCTAACGTGCAGCTTCTCCCTGTCAGAAACAAGAGGAGGAGATCACACGGCTGCGCAGCGACTTTGAGAGACAAGTGAAAGGTCAGTTCCTATTTGGACTCCTGTATGAAACCCAGAGTGAGAGCTGTCTTAGCACTCGTCACACTGTGCCTCCGCTGGGCTCCCTCCCCGGAGCAAAACAGGGCCTAGCTGGCGGATGGCCACTCTCCTCCTCCTCCCCTCTTCCGCTGCTTGTGGGCTGTAAGGCTGAGGGCTTGTCTGAATTCCCAGGAGCAGCTTGTCTGTGCGCACGCAGAATGGATCAGAGCAGCACCAGCAGCGGGTGCTTTGCTGCCACTCAAGGGTGGACTCAGATCTCCCTCTACGCTGCCTGTCTCCATGTGGCAGTGCAGCCCTGCTCCCCCCATCTCTGTCGGGGGGACTGTTTAACACTATGGGCTCGTGGGCACTAAGCAGTAAGTGCCCCTCACAGCTGCATACTGGCTCTCTGGAGCTGCAGGGCTCTGAGGCTGGAGGAGACTTTACAGGCACCTAGGCCTTGCGCTGGTACCTCTTTATTATAATGTGGTTCGATTTGCATGATTACCTGAGTGTTTCTAGTGCTCCCCTGCCTAGGGTGTCTGGGCACCGCAGTCAGCCAGGGTTTCTGGGCATTCCCTTCCATGAGTCTGCTGTAACTGCTCCATGTGCTAATGGGAGCTGATATGGCACCATTAATGGGCATCCTTTCCAAGAGTACCATCCCCATAGTGTGGACTGATCTAGCAGCAGCAAAGGGGAGCTCATGCACTGGGTCCCAGCCTGTCTGGCCTGCCCTATGGGGTGGTCACTCAGCCATGTGTGGTGCTTCCCTTCAGAGATTGAGGCCAAGTACGACAAGAAGATGCGCGTGCTGCGGGACGAGCTGGATCTGCGGAGGAAAACGGAGATTCATGAGATCGAGGAGAGGAAAAATGGACAGATCAACACGCTGATGAAGAACCACGAGAAGGCCTTCAGTGACATCAAGAACTACTACAACGACGTCACCCTCAACAACCTGGCACTCATCAACACTCTCAAGGTAACGCTAGCCTGTGCCCAGCGCCGGAATGGGGACACAGCTGGGCTGGAAGCCCAGTGCTGGAGAGGACTGACGCTCTCTTGGAGGTGACAGTTCCTGCCTGTTAACTCTACACGCATTTCAGTATTGGCTTCCCATTGAGTGCCTTCCACTGCAGGGGTTTCCCCCGCTGCTTCATATGCTTTGTGAGCACCATCACCTCTAATCCTGAGGAGTGGTGACACATTTACACAATTACACTCGTGAAGATCATGCAGCTGCGTTATAAACATGGCCATTTTAAGCCATCGGCTAGGATGCTGCTGTGGCAGTGCTACATGCCGTGCTTGGGAGTCCTGCAGGCCTGGGGTCTCCTGCTGGCAGCCCTGCTCAGGGACTCAGTACTTGTGTATCTGCCCCTGAGAACAGGAGCAGATGGAGGAGATGAAGAAGAAGGAGGATCACCTGGAGAAGGAGATGGCGGAAGTGCTGCTTCAGAACAAGAGGCAAACAGAGCCCCTGCAGCGGGCCCGGGAGGAGGTGGCTGAGCTGCAGAAGAAGCTAGCCCACTACGAGAAGGACAAGGAGGCACTGGCTGTGAGTCACCTGCTCGGCTCCCATCCGGTTTAGGTCCCATGTCCTGTAGTGTCTCTCGCGCTCCTTCTCAGAGCCTGCCTTGTGCTGTGTCCAGGGTACAGATTGGGCTTGAACAGTGGCCTCTGCCGGTCACCTGGGAACTACACTGACAGACTCCAAAATGGAATCCCCTTCAGTGGTGCTTGGCTTACGCTGGTGTCCTCAGCATAGCATCTGGTGGGGATCCCCGAACTCGGGGGTGCAGAGGATCTCACTCTAGTGGAGGAAGGGGAATAATGGATTCCTGCCCCCCGGGGCTGACTCCTGAGCCGCACGTGTCTTGTTAAGAAAGAAAGGATTCTGTGCGGGTGATGCCCAGCTTGGGGAGGAGAGTCTGGTATTCTCCTGTGCCGCCTCTCCCCCGCCCCAGGAACCCATAGCATGCGTCTAGTCTCTTTCCCCTTTTCCTCCCCTCTGCAGAACACAAAGGCCCGTTTGAAAGTCACCCAGAAGGAATTAAAAGACCTTCAGTGGGAACATGAAGTGCTGGAGCAGAGGTTCAGCAAGGTGAGAGCCATAGGCACAAAGTGAGAGCACCTGAGCATGGGGAGTTCCCTTCCCGCACCTGCCCTCTCTGAACAGCTGGGATCCTGCGGTATGAGATGATGTCACAATGGTAACGTTGTAGATGACTGCATAGGCCTCAGGTCAGCCTGGGCTTGTCCTGGGTTCTGACACCCTCTGAGTTCCGTATGAGCAGCTGCCTCCTCTGAGCTCTCTCTCTGCTCTGCCATCTCCTGTGCTCAGTAGACAGGCCCAGCTTTGTACTTGACTAAACAATAACGTATGCTCCGCTGGTCCCTTCCTGGCCTGGGGTTGCCTGGCTGCAGCATTAGGCCAGGAGGAAGACAAGAGAGATGGTTGCTGAGAATCTCCCTGCTATGGTGAGGGAGTGCTGGATACAGCACAGCAACAGATCACCATTGGAACTAGCATCCTCGGTCTCTCATCTAACCGCTGGCTTTAGGATGCTCCCTGCTCTGACCAGGCGGAGTCTGTTACTGGCATGCCAGCCTTCAGGGAGCATGCTTCAGGTTAAGTGCTTGTAGCCTGAGGGTCTTTCCCCCAGCTGAGTGGGTTAAGCATGGAGCTTGTCTGCAATTCCCGGAGAATCCCCAGCAATGTGAACATTGATAGGAGACCTCATTAACAAGCTGTCATTGGGGCAACAGCATATTCAGTGCATTTGGAAATAGGCTTTGGAGGATATGTCTTAATTCAGACACATTAACTAGATAAGAGCCAAGGTTCTCTTAGTTGCTGCTGCTAACATCTGCCATTCCTACCCGCTGCAAGGCTCATGGGTGACCCCTGTATGCACTTGGCATTGGGATTACTCTGAGGGCCAGAATAGGGTCCTGGGGAGTCACAGCCATAGACTTTAAGGCCAGAAGGGACAATTGTCACCACCTAATCTGACCTGCAAAGCACAGGCCAGAGAACCTTACCCAGTGATTTCTGCATTAAGCCCATAACTTTGGTTTGAGCTATGGTACATCTTTGAGAAAGACATCAGTCTTGGTTTAAAGATTCGAAGTGATGGAGAATCCATCATGCCCCGAGGTCAGTTGATCCAATGATTAATTCCCCTCACTGTTAAAAAAAGGAGGAGACCGTGGCTACCAGAGGATGGTTTCACGGCACCGCTCTGCTAGGAGCCAGGATTCATGGGTTCTCTTCCCGTATCTGCTATTGATTCATGGTGTGACCTGGGGCCAATCTCTCAGCCAGCCCATCTTGACCTGGGGATAGTAATACCGGCCTCTCAGAGATGACCTGAGGATTGGCTAATGTTTACAGAGCACTTGGTCCCCTTTGGAGAAGCACAAAACGTAGCTGTTGAGGTGGAAACTAGGACAGGAGCTGGGCGGACAGTGCAGAGGAATGAAAGCGGGCTAAGGGGAAATCCGTCTGGGGCAGGAGCTGTTTGGTGGGGGTAGTGTATGACATTCCCGGCTCTGGCAGGTATTCTGTGCTTATTGAAGTCAGGCCCATGGGGTGCATGTGCTAACGAACACACATGCCGTGGTGCTGGCTGGGGAGAAATGCTCCACACGCCTCATTCCTCTTGCTTAAGGGGAGGGATTTTCCCGCTGGGAGTCGGGTATGTTAACTTCCACTGAAGTTTCCAGTATGGGCCACTGTCAGGGGCATGTTACCCAACTTGGTGGCCCATTGGTCAGTCCCAGGGTGGCTGTTCCTGCACTGCAGTGCGGAGCAGGTGGTTTTGAAGGCACGGCATGGAGGTCTCCTTGCTAACTGGGTGTGGCTCTTTCCTGAGCAGGTGCAGGCAGAACGAGACGAGCTCTATCAGAAGTTCACCAAAGCTATTAATGAGGTGCAGCAGAAGACTGGCTTCAAGAACCTGCTCCTGGAGCGCAAGTTGAAGGCCCTCTCCAACATACTGGAGAAGAAGGAGGTGCAGCTTAACGAAGTCCTCTCAGCCTCCAATCTCGACCCCAGCGCCCTCACCATGGTCACACGCAAACTGGAGGTACCATATCCTGCTTCAGGGTCTTGGGGGAGAGATAGCAGAAGGGTCACTTCTTGCTGGGCTTGCCCCCGCCCCACTGCAAGGGTTAGGGCTTGGGGTGATAGGGCTGCATAGGGGGGCCGGGCCTGCTCTGTGGCTAAACATGGGCTAAATCTCTGGCCTTTGAACCTCAGCACCAAAGAGTTGAGAGCAGTCTCTGTAGCCGGAGAGGGATCCTGCTGGAGGTGCAGACAGGCTTGGAGAAGGCATCAGAGAATGGTCCCTTTGTGACCAGGCGAGAGCCCTCTCCTTCTTCCTGCACCCTCTGAGGAGTGAGGCCCAACCTTGTGGGACCTCACACTCTGTTACTCCCGCCTGGTGGCTAGCTGAACATGGTAGTTAGGTCAAAGCTTCTGGTCTGTTAGCGCAGCCCCAGGCTTGTGGTGCAGGAGGAGAGGCCCAATGGGGTGGGAGGAAGGAAGATTCACCCCTCGTCTTGGGAGAATTTCACCTCTAAGATGTGTGTAGAGCTGGGGCCCTGGCACACTCAGGGAAAAGCCCCAACATGTTCCACTGTTCTGCCAGAATCCCTAGGCTACCGCTGTGGTAAGGGGATGGGCTTCAGCGGCCTCCTCTCACTCCCATGAAGGCCATTGTATGGGTAGCCCCCTTGGGACACGAGGGGCAGGCTCAGCGCTGAGTCTCGCTCCCGCAGCGGTGGAAAGGGCTGGGCCGAGTCCCAACCCACAGGAGAATTGTCGGGGCTGCTGATTCCTTTGTGTGCCGGGCTCTGCAGGCCGGGCACCGTGCTTGTTTGTACTCTGTCAAGGTGAGGGATGGAAGCCCCTGAGCAGCAGCCTCACCCAGGCTTCCCCTGGCCAGCTCTGCGGAGACAGCCCTCTCCTGGCGGCCCCACCCCTGGCAATCTAAGCGGGCTCCACTCTGGCCACGCCAGCACTTGGAGCTGGAAGGCGATTTCTCGCTCCAAGTGACATCCTGGGGCGGCCAGCCTCTCCTGCTGCTCGCACCGCTAGATTTTAGCAGGTAGCTCGATGAGAGCTAGCACGGGTACGTCTCCTGGAGCTGGCAATGACACCTGCCAGCTCTAGTGGAGGCGCGCCTGATTTGGAGGGGCTTTGTGGCCATGGGGACTAGTGGGGACATAATGACCAATGAGAACTAAGATGAATCTCACTAGTCACTCCCCCCCACACCACCTGCTTTCCCTCTGTGGCTCACAGCAGGCTCTGGGACGTCTGGCACCCTAAAAATACATGGCGGGGAGCTCCTGGGGCGGGGGGGGAGAACAGGCTTAGTGATTCCACATGCCAAGCAAGTAGCAGCAGTAACAGGAGAAGCAGCACTTGTCTGCCTTTGTCCCAGCCCAGCGCAAACGGGCTCGGGCCTTGGGAAACTTGGGTTCCTGGCTCAGCCATGGATTTCCTGTGTGACCTGGGGCCAGTCACTTCATCCACCCCGAGCTCAGCTTGCAGCACTGTAATGGAGATACAATTTCCCTCCCTCCCTGGGGGGTTGGGAGTGTGAACCAGTAACAGTGCTGTAGTGCTCAGACACTGGGATGGAATGAGCGCCACTGCCTGGCCTGGGGGGAGCAGATCACAAAACGCATTCTTCAGAAACCACCAAGGCGACATCTCTCCGGCAGCAGCTGGCGGGGCTGGAGTCTCCGAATTCCTTTGCTCAGCTGCCTCTTGCAGGCTGAATCTACGCTGCGAAGCTTCCGGTCTGTAACTCTGCACGGGTGCCGTGTAGCCCGGGCCCTGGCGTTCGAGCAGTTAGGTGACGGAGCAGCAAAAATGCAGCCCTGGCCTTCCCCTCTCGCGGAGCGGCACCGTTGGTACATCTCAGGACCAATTTAACTAGTGTAGACAAGCTCTCGGAGGCCCCTGGTTGGGTTCTTGGAGCGGAAAGGCCAAGCAGCACACGTGAGGCACAGCCACCTCACCTCATCACAACTCCATACCCCCCCAGGGTTCCTTTCATAATATGGCCTCAAACTGGGGGTCCCCTGCCTTCCTGAGGCCAGCCCCTGAGCAGGGCCCTCCACCCTGGAAGCTGCCATAGTCGCCCCTGGCACGAGAATCACAGTCCGACTGGAGCCTTTTCCAGCGAGCGGCTGATGCAGTGGAGGTTCCAGGTGAGGGCCTGTTGTTCGTTCGTTTGCTGCCCTCTGCAGAGCACAGGCTGCTGGCAAGTCAGGCACCTCATGCTTAATAGACACATTTGTAGCCTCCACGCATCCCACAGCCTCTGCAGCAAACCAGCCGCTTAACCGAAGGGAGAACACATTCCTGAACCCCAGAATGGCAGACCAGGTGGAGCAGTTTGACAAGGGGGCTCAGCCAGCCCCCACAGAGAAAGGGCCCTACTCAGCCACCAGGGCCCTGGATCTCCTCCGATCTCCGCTTTCCCCAACTGCAGAGAGCCCGTGGTCTGTGCTAGGTTGGCTGTCAATGGGCTGGATTCGGACCCTGTGGTTGTGAGGCAGGAGGGTGGGATCAGGTGGGGACTGCTTGTCTCCCACTCTTAATGCCTCCCTGGGGACTAAGGTTGCACTCCATAGAGTGGCCTGAGGATTTCCTCGGTCATATCTTTGGCTTGGTGCTGGGAGGAAACCAGGCTGGAGTGGGGTGAAGTGGGCTGCGAGTTCCCCCAGTGCAGTGCAGGGGCATGGGCTTCTCCGCAGTGTTCGTTACCTAAGGGAGCATGGGACCACGTCTAACCCACCAGATGCAACATAAACTGGCGGGCAGGCAGCACTAAAGGCATCTCAGTCTCTGGGTCAGTTACACTGAGCAGGGTTCTGGGGTTACGTTCCGGGTCTCCCCCCCCATCCCCCAAACTAGCCCCAACCAGCGGGCACCACCTCCTCTGGCAGCACTGTGGGAACCTTGCCAAGCCAATCTCTGCAGCTTTCCCATGGCCCCATGCTGAGCTGGGCTCTGACCCATGCCCGGGGGACCCAATCAGTAACAAGGCTCTGATCTCCCTTCCCAGGACGTGCTGGATTCCAAGAACAACACCATCAAGGATCTCCAGTACGAGCTGGCCCGAGTCTGCAAGGTGAGGAGAGGGGACCCTGCTTCTGTCCCGCCCCAGTGGAACCAGGCAGGGTCAGCGCTGGGACATGCCCCATGCTCTGCAGGGAGAATCCTCCTGTGCAAAACCTAATGGGGATGGAGGAGAAGCTCCAGGGCCTGCTGGGAGGAGCAGGGCACTGCTCCTATGTGGCTCTGTTAGACATCATCTCTCCTGCAGGAGAGGAGGGAGTGGAGGGGCTGTTCCCGCTCACGTGTGCACAGACAGACACAGCCTTTGCCCAGCACCTCCCTTGTTGTGTCAGGACTTTAATCCTCTTGCTTATGTGGCAAAGCTAGGAAGTGCTGGCCAGGCAGCACGGCCCTCTGGCACGCTGGCGTCTCCTAGTGCGTGTGCAGCCCTCGCTGCTAGGCAGGAATTAGCCACACGGTGCTGGTTCTCTCTGCGAGGGGGTTACCCAGGGACCCCCAGCATCCAGACTGGCTCAGGGACCGAGTTCTGCTTTCCCTAGTTATAATGACAGCCCCCCTTTGCCCCTGCCGGGCACCACAGGGGATGGTGCAGGAGCCCGGGTAGGAGCTAGCTAGTGACGACCTGTGCGTGGTGTGCACTTCCCTGGGACTCACACTCTGCTTCACTTTCAGGCACACAACGACTTGCTGCGCACCTATGAGGCCAAGCTCACAGCCTTCGGCATCCCCCTGGACAACGTGGGCTTCAAACCACTGGAGACCACAGTGATGGGACAGACGCTGGGGCAGGGCCCAGCCGGACTTGTTGCTACCCCAACCTAGCACTGCTGGGCACGTGCTTGTCCATCACCTCTTGGGTTACACTAAATATTGTCAGCAGCCTCCCCACGGGCTCCTGTCCCAGCACCGCAGGGAGCGGGCTGTGCTGTGGAGCTGCCTCATTAAACAGACCCCAGAAAGGTTTTTAAGCAGGCTCCAAAGGAACCGTTTTTCACTTCCCAGGGCAGGGCCGGGCCGGGTCGCAGCGTGGAAGGAGACCTCTCCCAGCCCAGTGCTCCCTTGCCTAGAGAACGTGCCAGCCAGACAGCTGGTAGCTGGCCCCTGGGTACCGCCGCACCGTAAGCAGAGGAGTGTCGCCACTCCAGACCACACCCGTGGCACCCACATGCAGCCTGTTCTCAGCCAGTCCTGCACCCAGAGGCCTCCCAGCTAGGCCCTCTCCTGCCCTGGGCAGGGGCTGGAGCCCAGAGGCCTCCGTATGCCCACAGCTCTGCCTCGGGAAGAGGGATGAGCCCTGCTGGCTCTGGAGGGACTGTGCTCACTAGCAGGGAGAACTGGGCCCCTGAGCAGCAGGGCCATGCTGCCCTTCCTGGAGCAGAGCTATCCGTCTGCCTGGCTGCTTTACCACTCGGCTCCGCAGAGCTCGCTAACGAGCAGCTGAGTGCGTCAGGCTACGGCAAGTGCTGTTGAAAGAGCCCTTTAATAGCGCAGCCCTCCCTCGCGTCACTTCCTCCGGCCCGTCTCTGGAGCCATGGCCAGGCCAGCCAAGGGGCTAGTCCCTGCACCATGCCCACCTGCTCTCCCCTGTGCTCTAGCTCCCCTTGTAGGTGGTATAGGAGAAGGGGCTGATCAGCAGAGGGATGTGCAGCTTCCGGGTTTGCTCTGTGACCGTGAAGACAACCTGGCAGAGACAAGGGAGAAGCAGGTTACATGTGTGACACAGCATGTGCTGGCTCGGGGGAGCCTCGGCCCCTCAGCAGTTTGATCTGTCTGCAGACGGTCAGGGCGGGAGGAAATGCGACCCTTTCCCGTTGACAGTGAGCGGCTCCAGCATTGCTGGGGACAGAGCTGCAGATTAGCCGTGTAGAGTGCACTGAGCCCTATTCACTCTGACATGGCAAAGGCGATGGGTGGGGAGCAGGGAGACGGGGCCAGAGTCTGCTCCCCTACGCTGCTGTCAGTCTGGAGCCGCTGCCCTGCTAGGCCACGAGGCAGAGTGTACGGTGGAGTATCAAAGAGTTTGACCCTTGGGCTCCAGTGCATTTGTAGCATCTGTGGCAACTTCCCCTGACTTAGTGGAGGATTCTGGAGAGGCAGTCACAGAGCAACCCGTGTCCTGGGCGTCAGGCACTCCACGTGCTCCCTGCCTCCCGGGTCTGCACGTGCTAGCGCTGGCTCTGTAGACAAGGCTGATTCTCCTCGCTCCTGCTTTAACCCGCCCGGGTGAGAGAGGAATTGAGCATGTCTGGGTCCCTTGTTAGATTTACCTCCACATAGGGGTAGAAGCTAGTGTAGCCCAGCTGCTGCCAATAAGCCCCAGTGTCGAAGTGCAGCTTGTACGTGCCAGCCTTCACCTGCCCAGGAGCCAGGAAGAGCGGGCAGTGCCCATCCACGTTGGTAGAGCTGAAATCCAAACAAGTGTATCAAACTGAAGCTGTCCGCTGCTCCCTCCCTAGTCCCCTGGAGCCTCCTTGCTGGGATCCAGCCCCAGGTGCAGGCTGAGCCAGGCACAGCTGTTGGGATGACGTGCTCCCCCCATGAGCAGCGCAGGAAGCAGAAGGCAGAGCAAGGATAGGAGTGACAGCAGGGGAGAGCGCCTGGGGATGGAGCAGGCAGGGAGGTCGTTCCAGACGGCAGGAGCTGCCCCCAGGGATTCCAGGCGACGCTTTTTGGCCAGCACCACCTCGTGCTGTGTGCGCATCACTCCGCCCTGGGAGTTGATGGGGAGATTGAACCGTACTGGGACATGTCAGAGCATGGATCTGTGTCCTCTGCGGTCTGACCTACACCCCAGGAAGGCTGAGCCAGAGCGGATGGCAGTGCCCCACTGGAGTGTGTCCCCATGATGCCAGGTTAGTGGGGAGTGGGGGTCCAGCCGAGCAGTGAGGCAGCTGCCAGGCCAGAGACCAGAAGGGAGTAATCCCCCCACCCCACAACCCAAGGAAGGGAGCACCAGGGGAAACGGCTGTACGTTGGCTGGGTCTGTGCCAGTACCTCTGCCAGTTCTCCTGCAGGGCCCGGGGGAGAACCAGGCCGCCGGGCCCGGGGGAGAACCAGGCTGCCTTGCCTTGGAGTCTGGCCAGATGTAGACCCACCTTCACCCTGTTTGCACTGCACCTCTCTCCAAACACAGCCTGGGGGCAGGGGCTGCAGTTAGCCCTTGGGCACCGGCTGGGGGGAGATGGAACCTGTCCCTGCTGCAGGTCCTAGCCCACTCTGCCAGAACCCAACCCTGGTGCAGCCTGCACGCCCTGAGCCAGGCCAGCTGGGGGGTGGAACAGGCCAGCAGTGGGATCCACCCCGGGGGGGAGGGGTCAGGCAACTCTTCTGCTGTGGGCTGGGATCAGATTCAGGTGGGAGAGGGAAGCCTGAGGAGAAGGAAAAACCCTTTCCTGTCCTTCCCCCAGGCTTCAGCTCAGCTCCCCCCCCCTTGCCCCCGCACCAGGCCTTTGCGCTTAGGGGGGTTGTGGGGTGGCCTTCCCCTTCCAGGGACAGCCCATCTGCCTCACCACACCTACCTCTTCATCAGCTCCATCCATTGCAGCCCGGGGCCTTGGAGCTGGGACAGGTGCGTGGCCAGGCCTGTTGCGGGCTGGCCGGTCAGAGTGTTCAACACGTGGATGGTCAGGGAGCTGCTAGGGGCCTCGGATGTGTTTTTGACCTGGGACACAAGTTAATGAGCCAAGCGGGGCCCCTCATGCCTGGCCCCCAAAGCACCACAGCCACTCCCCTGCCCCGCGGCAGAGCCCACCGCACGAGGCGATCACTGGTGTGTGCAGCAGGGGAGCAGCGTCTCCACGCTCTGGTAAACTGGGAGGGAGCAGAGGGCCAAGTGCAGGGCACTCAGGCCTGCTCTATGCTCCATCGCTATGGTGCTCCAGGCTGGGAAAATCCACCCCCTGCGCACCGTGGCTCTGCTGACCTGACACCCCCCTCACCCTCTGTATGGGCAGCGAGGGCAATGGAACAACGTCTCCGTCAGCCCAGCTGCCATCGCTCGGGGAGCGGATGTCTCAGTCTGACCCTGATGGAAACCCCCCTTCTAGCAGCATAGGGGGCGTGAGGCAGGGCCCCTGGCACACGCCCAAGCCGATGGGGGGAGAGGAGGGTCAGGCAGGGCCCCTAGCACATGCCCAGGCCAATGGGGGGGGAGTCAGGCAGGGCCCCTGGCGCATGTCCAGGCGGGTGGGGGGTGAGGCAGGGTCCCTGGTGCACCCACAGTCCGATGGGCGTGGGGGGTGAGGCAGGGCCCCAGGTGCACGCCCAGGCCGATTGCGGGGGGGGTGAGGCAGGGCCCCTGGCACACGCCCAGGCCGACTCGGGTGGGGTGTGGAGGAACGGGCCC